TGGTGACGTTTGATTTATCGCCGCCCTTTAGCGACGACGTTAAAACGGCAGCTTTTCTCTTGACACCGACTGGCGGGGATGATGCAGAACTCTTGTTACCACTCTTAGAAAATTCTGTAGGTTCCTGACCCTTCAAACCTTTACCTTTGATCAGTTCTATAGACTTCTTTGAGTTTCGCACTTTGTTTTCTATTTGATTACTTTCATCAGAGCTTGAAGACGAAGACGTGGAATCATTTTCAGCCATCCCAGCATTAACAGATATATTCAAGATGTTAGTGTCATCAGAATCAGTAGAAGAATCAGAGCTACTCGACGATTTGGTAACTTTTTTGGCTATCACGGGGGATGCTAATTTAACTGCTGGAGAAACTGTCGACTGTGAGCCAGCGGCAGGGATCGATTTTGCCGCTTTGCCTTTGTTGATGTTCGGTTTTGCGGTAACATTTGTAGCATCGCTGTCACTTGAATCTGAATCACTAGAACTCGTTTCCTGTTTCTTCATGGGGACAAGGTGCGACACGGTTTTCGAAATAATTTTGACAGATGTTGGAGTCGGCGTGGCATTTGCCTTTACACCTTCAACCGTATCACTTTCAGACGAACTACTCTCACTTGAATCTTCATCTGCCTTTTGTCTGGAAGATTCTCTTCCCTTCTGAGAGACTGTTTGGATGGATTTCTTGGAGTCACCGCCAGTTTCAAAACTAGAACTGCTACTACTGCTACTGGAGGGCTTTCTTTTCTTAGAATTCGTGACACTCTTCGCGGATTTACCATTCTTTTGCAGGAAGCTAGTTTTCAGAAATGCGTCATCATCCAAATCATCGCTACCAGATGTAGTCGAGCTGTCGCGCAATTTTGAGGCTTCAGCCACGGCGGTGACCTTCGTACCGGGGAACTTTGTTTGAACTTTTGGTTGGGATACTTCCCCACCTGACAGCAACGACATTTTCTTGTTCTTTTCTTTTGAATCATCTTCAGAACTACTGCTAGACTCAGAACTCTCCATGGCGGGTTTTGCAGCCTTCGAAACCAGTTTCGCAGCTAGTTTTGTTGCTGATGGAGCCAGTGGCTTCGTTTTAGCAACCGGATGCGCTGTTGCCGTATTATCATCAGTTTCTGATGAGCTGGTACTATCTGACGATTCGGCCAATTGTGCCTGAGCTTTATGCACTCCACTTGTCACTGGTGGCATACTGGGTTTTGACACAACGGCTTCTTCATCCGAATCTGATTCTGAGCTTGAACTGCTGGATGCATTAGTAATTACCTGTCTTATACCATTTGCTGTCTCTGGAGCTAAATCAACAGTTCGCATTAAAACCGCAATATGCTGTAACAGAAAGTAAAAACGTAACCTGATTTTGTAACTGACATTTCGCTGTCGCTCGTTTCTAAAACGATATGTTCTAACTAATGACATGTGATGAAGTTAAGCAGTGCTTTTTATCCCAACATTCTTGTATAAGACAGATTAAACTAAAAAGATTAATTAAATTGAAAGTGAAAAAGACTGTTTTCGCCCAGCACGTACAAAAGTAATGAAACACACTCTGAACCACAGATATAAATGAAAACTAAATGATTTACAGTCACTGGTAAAAAATCTAGACACCGCTAGCACTGCACCCGCCTAGTGATGCAATTACAAAAGGCATGGCATCGCTTTTAATGGCATTACAAATTTGAACTACACTGAAGCACATGGCAAAATACCAATAATTCGTTTTTGGGCAGTTAAAAATGAGATCAGAAGAGATAATCTCTTTCTTTCACAAATACAAATGCCATGATTCACGGAGAGAACGAAAAAATTCAGTGAAATACTACATTTCGTCGTAGAAACTGTACAACCGTGGAAAGACATGACTTAATGCTAATCACAGACCAAATAAAAAATTGCTTGGCAAGATACACTGAAAATATTGGATTTCAGAGTAGGTACCTAAAAGAATGGGGCAAGTAGTGAAACTACTATTAACATTCATTTATATACAAGAATTTATATTCTTATCTCAAGAAATGAAAAGGTGGCGGAAGACGAGTGTAGCAGGCCAGAAGCGGCTGACTGTAGGAATGGTGCACCCAGCAAAACGCGATTTTCTTGAAGATACCGCAGCGCAGCACTGCTACTCGCAGAATCGCTCAGATCGGCCATAACAGCACCCTGTACCAATGGACTTGCGCACTGCCATAGGCCTAATGACAGTTTAACCATAATAAGATCGCGTTGCAAAACCGATATGATGCCTGTGAAGATATCTCCTCACATCATTATCGGCTTAATGGCATGGGCCAGGAAGAAAGAGTCCAGTGTCGGGTCTTTGAAGAAACCACCCTGAACGATAGTAAGCTGAATAGTCAAAGTCTAAGGTACTACTGTCTGAACATGGGTACGCGAATAGCTGCAGTATCCAAGAACAAAATAAAGGTGACCAGTCCAACGTTGCGACACAGAAGCCTTGACGCTGTACGATGGGCTATGGATATATACCGCTAAAAAACAGTGCTGCGCGCCGGGCAACGCCGTTCGGTAAAATATTCAGCACAGCGGTGTTTGCATTATTACAAACGACTTCTCACTTTTGTACCATACTTGTGCGCGAACAGCGAAAACCTTATTGGTGAAATATTGTAAATGAATATGTAGCAGCATGAAGCTGAAGCTGAGAACAAAGGAAAATTTGGATTTCGATGTCAGAATAACTACAATATTATGTGCATACCTAAAACGGTGTATTCGTGAAGTAAAAATTTGCTGTGAAAAACACGTTTATATGCACGTCGTTTATAGACGTCATGTTGTTTACACACTATAAAATCAACATGGAACAACGCGAGTAAAAATTTTCATGGGAAACTGAAATAAGACATTTCTTACTGTTTCCGTTGGAAAATTAAGTTTTAAGAAAAATGTAACATTTTTCTAAAATTACGGGCACAAAGATGATGCTAACAGAGAAATTAGTTTGCATCAGAACATAGTTAATGATTACCTGAACTGCTGGAGGTTGCAGGTTTTTGTCTTTTCGTCGACGTAGCATCTGGACTCAACATCCGCTTCCTCCTTAAAATCAAAACAGTTGAACTATGAAAGAATCTATCATTCGTAACTGAACCGTTTCAACTCCTCGTATTGCTGGATAATGTTTTCAAGCTTTTCATTTGTTTGCGCTGCACCCTAAAATAAGTTCAATAAAACCATACTGTGCGTAAAAACAGCAAATTACCTTTTGCAGACGAACCAAATTTTTGCCCCTGTATACATTCAGTAAATCTTTCTCTGACAAATGTCTCTTTAAAAAATCATAAACCAAACACTCTGTCAACGCCTTTATTTCAGACATTTCAGACAGCTGTTCAAGCTGACGAAAATCTTGAAACTACGAGTTCTGTAGTCGGACAAATCCCGATATCGACAAAATAATCTAAATAAAAGATTACACTACTATACGAAGAAAAATCATGCTATACAGGCACACGGACTATGCATATGATACAGCCAAACACAACACAAATGAGTTCTGCAAAACGTACATGTCGACAACTTTCTCGCATAAAAACAGTAATGCATGAAACTTTTAACTTATACAGAAACAGGCATCGCTACGATTTGGCATATTATGCTCACCTTTCATTTAGAAATGGACATAAATTTACTGCTCCACAACGAATGTAAAACAGATAAAGCTGACAGTCCTGACAGACAGATTAAATCGTGACAAACAGGGAAAATTGCGAAACATTAAATTTACCGACGATCGACAAATCTGAGCGAGTCTGCGCAGACCCGTCATAATTGGTAGGACAAAACTTATTAAAAGCATTTCACATGGCTTACTGCCGGCTGCGAATAATCAAATCGATTTTTCTACAGTAGCTATAACCTTTCGAAAGTTGCATAACATCATATTTATGCTTAACTACAACGAAGTTAAAAATTAAATACCAAGTTGCGAAAAATACGAGCTAAGCGAAGTAACTGTGGTTTTCCAGTGGTATTGTTACACTGAAAATAATAAATTGGGGATATGGAGGCAGTGTGCTAGCAGATCACCTATGCCTCCGCTTTGCAATGAAAAGATGAACGTAAGACAGCAATAAATTATCGGGAACCGAAATTACTACTATATGCAAATCCGCTGTTACTAACAACAGGTTCAGTCACTGAAGTCTGACTAAGGTACTAACGTACTGAACCGTAAGACAAGTTGCCAAAATTCTGGAGATAACAATAAGCAAATACCAAACAACAAAATCTGCACTGAAAGTGGATCAGTCAGCCACCTTTTGCATGGCGGTAAAGAACCAAACAGTTCAGATTTGAACTGTACTGATGCCAGTAGAGCAATATCGTCAGCGTACTTTACGCACATACTGGCAGCACTGGATGGGTGACATCGCGACTTGTATAAGATGAACAATGCAGGTGACACAGAGGATCATTGTGGAATCCCTCAAGCTGTCAGTTGCGCTACAAATTTCTCCTTGCCCAGCTGAATAAACTCTCGGAATCTCAGGTAATACATGTTCAGCAGGCTAAAAATGCTCCTCACCGATGCTAGCCTGCAATCTGAGCAGCTGAAGTATTGACAGTGCTGTAGGCTGAAATACAAAAGAAAGGCACCCTCACTAATGCTTGTTCTTCGACGAGGCTGCTGGCAATGGTGACGACGACTATGGTTAGCACATTCAGAGTACTGCGTCCACGCACATATCCCAACTTCAAGGGATCGACACGATCAACCACATCACCATGCCGACAACAAATACTTGCCACTTCGAAGGGTTTACAACACATAACTGCCCGTCTCATTGATTCTAGAGGCTTATGGGGTGGAGCTGACCACAGTTCAGTGGCATTATACCATCAACGGATGAATGCAAGATCGCTTCAATGAGTACAGTCAGAGAATGTTTCGCTTTTGAAAATGTATAGATACAACAAGATGCATGGTTAAGAAACCCAAACGTAAAACAGCTTATAGTAGAGATGGAAAGGTTTTACAGTCGAAGCCCCTTGTTACCAACACCGATAACATGATCGGGATTGAATAAAGAAAAACTGATGTCTAAGCTTCGACACAATAACAAGGTACTATTAACAATATTTGATGAGAATTGTGCCACTAAGTCATGAAATCACATTTTTCGTAACAGACTGCACCACAGTTTAGACTTATATCAAAGGATGAAGAACATTTAGTACGAAGATGGTCTTTAACATAAGACAAAGCTGTGGTGCAGTCAATAATCTGTTATGAAAAATGACTTCGGGCCTGAGCGGCACACAACGCATTATGTCAATAAAGTTAAAAATATGTTAGTGTTGAGACGTACGATTGAGATTTTCGATTATTCAATCTCGATAGCATATCAGTATTGCTAACTAGACGCTTTCCTGCTAATAAAACATTTGCATCTGTTTTCCGATTGGGCTTTTTCATCACGTATCACGAATACAGTCTGCTGATGAGCTACGGCCTAGAATCAAGAAACAGCAGGATAACTAGGTGCTTCACTTGTCAAAGAAAAAACT